CAGCCCAGGTGGGGGCAGTGGGGACGATCCCCACCTGGGCTGGTCTCCAGCCCCAGTGGAGATGGGGGCTGCCATGGCAAGGGGACTGCAACCAGTCCCCCAACCCCATTCCTCTGGGGAGTGTTTTTTTAATGCTTTTGCATTTTTATTCCTTTCTGCAGGAAGGTGCCAAGGGCTGGCACTTGGGTGAGAGCTCCCGTCTGAAGGAACCACCACTCTCTGATGTGCTGCGGTCAAGTCCTGCAAGGAACCGCCGCTAGATATACTCTTCTTCCTGAGAAACATCTGCCTTCTCCCACTCCCCTCTGAGGTTTAATTAAAGCATTTTAGCAATTTCTGCTTTCTGCGCGGCAGCTTCACACCACAGGAGCTCTGTCAGCTCCAAGATCTTGCCTTAGGAGCGCAGTCATTTCAGGTGTTTGCCTGGGCATCAGGGCCCACCCCTCATTTATTTTTACCAGCTCAAACATGTTTCAACCCACAAAACCTCCTTAATGAAGCTGCGCATTCTTAGCGAACCCAGGTCTTTCAAGACTGTGCTGGTACCTTATCTTTCCAGTCATCTTCTTTTCTGACAGGGCCCCAGCGCCTGCCTGCAAGTGTGTTTGTTTACACAGGAGATGCTGGTCCTCAGCAGACTTCTTGGTCCTGCCTCAAAACAGTTGTTACAAAGGTGCTGCTGAGGGAAGTAGATGGGGTTTTGCCCCTGGCAAACCGTTCATGTGCTTACATAGGCCGTGCAGCCACAGGTACCGCCATATTTCCCATCCTGTCAGCCTGTGCGGGTCAGGAGTGATGGGTTTATCAATACAGAGAAGCCACCCCATTGCCTGCCCATAACACAGAAATATGCCTAATGAGTGGCTTTCATCAGTCATCAATGTTTGGCTTACAGCTTGCCCCTTTCAGCAGCTGGAGACAGGGCAGCAAGTCTCTAGACAAGGCCCTGGTCCTTTCAGAAAGGCTTCCCTTCCCTCCCCTCCCAGAAGCAGGGGCCTCCTGCAGCCACCCAGCACCACAGGGTAACACCGATGCGTTTAGGTGTTGATACAACTCCTGCAATGGTCACCCTGCTTCCCCACATCTTTCCCTTTGTTACCACACGACACCAAGTAACTGGGTTTGAGAGGTGTTTGGGGGCGGGAGACACTGCTCCTGCGCAGCAGCAGAGCATCCATGAACCCCAAGGAGATCTGAATCCCCTGGGGCAGAAGCAGAGCTGAGGTAACTGCATGCCCTGTCCCTCCAAGGATTCACCCACACTCCACAGCTCCACGCATACAAATTAAAATTAACTTACTAAATTAAATTTGTCTGAGACCATTCTCTGGCAGAGAACGTCCTGCGCCCTTGCTGTTGAAGTCTCAGCCTCCAAAGCAGCATGGTTTCACCCACGCTGCCCACTGGGAGGGAAGGGGGCCTGGTGCATGCTGATTCCCAAATCTTACCTGAGCACGTTTGAGAGAGCACGTTTAACTCAGGTCAAAACCAGTCCAGGACCCACTGTGCTGGTATAGTCAGCTTAGCTCCACTCCCCAAGAAAGCTCCCTGATGCTGTTTAGCTTGCTAGTGTGGACACAGGATAATTGTCCACCCAAATTTATCTCCCTGCTGGACTGTGAAGCCTACAGAGATGAGGTGTGACTCTAAGTTCAGTGTAAGGTGACCCTGTTAGTTCACTGTCCTTAACACGGAGAAAACATTCCCATGGAGGAATGTTATTTGTGAATTTCTCAGATCAACCTGAGTCTTAAAAAATTTAATCAATCAGTGTCACCAAGCTTGCCATAAGATATTTCTTTACATATAAAGAGCCCACCTGGCTTTCTCCACATCTGTGACAAAAGAGGTTTGCAGCTGACCTATAAAGAATTTTATTAACTTACACCTTGTTTTGTTTCTCCAGAAACCGGCCCCTGGGAACACAGACCTGCCACAGCAGATCAGAGAGTGGCCCATGGTGCCCTGTGTTCCCTCTGGGCGCTGCTCCATCCCCTGGGTAGCTTCCCACACCTGCAACTTTGCTTTCAAAAGAGGGAGTATCAACCCTGCAGAAAGCAGTTACCCATAAGGAAAGTCTTTTTTTTAATCAAGACATGATTAATCCTTTGAAATAAGACACAACTGTTAGTTGATGGGTCTTCTAGCAAAATTGTCTACACAAGCTATTTCTATTGTACTCCAAATGGCAGCACATACATTCAAAGCAATGAATGCTGAGAAAAAATGCATAAGCTTAAGAATGGGTTGAATTATTAAAAATATTGATAGTTATTTAATCAGATAGTATAATTTTTTTAAGAAGTGCTTTAAAACACTGAAATTAAAATAACAGTCAAAGAATGTAAGAAGTCTTCGCTGTCTTGTGTACAGCATACTTCTAGTACTAAAAGGTGCTGCCATATCAGTATTAAACATCTTTTCTGTATATTAGTGATTACACAGGTATAAAGATGAAGGGAATTAAGGTCACTGAAACAGCACAAGTTCTCCCTTGCCTCCACACAGCTTTCCATCCCGTGTGCTAATTATGCTTTGCATAGGGCTGAGACATTTTTCTCAAAAACTTCTGAGGCAAGTTATTTTAATAAACAGGTTTAATTTTTAATAAGGATGCTAAGAAGTTTGTTAAATGCTGTGGGTAGGCAAACTGATGGCATGAAATCTGAGAAAACATATATAAACCAAATATCCTCTGGTATTAGAGAGGGAGGAGAGAAGTGATTTTCAGTAGGATTTGGGCAAAACCCCTAACTTTTTAAAAAAAGCACCAAATGACTAATACTGATTCATTGTCTTGGCATGATGTAGGTAGGCTTCCTACTGTTATTTATAGTTATGTTCTGGTCTGGTTATGACATGCTGTCAGTTGATGAGTAGTTTGAAATGTATTAGCCTGGGGTCCAGTAGTTCTTTTGTGCCATTCAGTGTCCTATAAAATAGAGATTTTTTTTTTTTAATTTCCTCTCATAATTCAAAATTCAGCCACTCATTTTCCTTCTGCAGTCCCTGTAACTTTGTTTCCTAGCACTAGTGGAGTTCAACTGACAGATTTCTTTCCCTGTTAGCTGTTGTGTCCTGTCTCTTCCTGGCTACTTGCCCCAAGGAGGGCCTCTTCCTTATCCCTGCCAGGAACTGGAGCCCTTTCGAAGCACAGAGATCATCCTGTTTTGTCTTGCAAATCCACAACCAAGTTTCAAGACACTTTGTTTGGAGAGGAGATGCTTTGGCTTTAGTTTATAAAAGTGGTTGAGTACTTTAGGAGCTATTTTTATGCCTAAATCCCACTGATTTTTTAAAGGAATTAGGTGCTTACATAGTTTTTAGGATCTATGGCCCTTGTTCAACACAGAAGAGCAGCTGTTTTGGCATTATAGGATATCCAGTCTGCATGAAGAGCCTTAATAAAGAGCAATGGTATGTTTTGCTTCATCTTAAAGAGCCTAGTAAGGTATTTATATGAGAATGGATTAGTTAAAAGGGAGACAGAAAAAAGGAACTATATGTTAAAGTATAATATTATACAGAGAATTTTATCTAAACAGAATACAGAGAAAAGGCACCAGAGTGGTGCCTAGACTTAGGATAAACACACCCTCTGACCTGCATGGTACCTGGCCAAAACATCTCCCTTTTGGCCCATGTGTCTGGGCTTCCTTCCCTGGGGAGCCAGGAGAGAGGGAGGGGGGACATTTAGCACACAGGACCTCAAAGTGCTTAGGAGCTGCAGCAGGTATCTTGGTAGGGGTAGATTTAACCCCAAGTGGCAGCCAGGACCACACAGCCATTCACTCACACTTCCCCCCGCAGTGGGATAGGAGAGGAGAACAGGAAAAGAAGAAAACCTCATGGGTTGAGATAGTTTAATAGAACATTAATGGATGAAAAGACAGTAATAACAATAATGATAAAAAAATATACAAAATGAGTGATGCAATACAATTGATCCCCACCTGATGATCGATTGCCCATCTTGTCCCAAGCAGCGATCATGGATGCTTGCCCCCATCAACCCCCATTTATATATAGAGCATGACATCCATGATATAGAATATTCCTTTGGCCAGCTTGTCCTGTCTATGCTCCCTCTCAGCTTCTATGGGAAACCGCAAAAGTCCTTGATTTAATATAAGCACTACCTAGCAACAACTAAAACTATATGTGTTACCAACATTATTATCATACTAAATCCAAAACAGAGCAGCTACTAGGAAGGAAATTTACTCTCTCTCAGCTGAAACCAGGACAGTATGACAGTGACAGTCAGTGAAATTGAAGGCAAGCCAATTGCAAATGGCAGGTTTGGAAGAGCAGAGGAGGGTGACACCATTAGCTAACCTACAAACTCCTTGACAATAGGTATTCTTGAGATTTAGGAACCGAAACATTACTGGAGAGGTAAGTAGCTAATGAGGATGTTTGACAGTTTTTAGACAGGACTGAAGAATTGCTAGAGTTATAAACCACTACGCTTCAGAGGCCAGGCCCTCATTGAATGCTCAGAGGCAGAATCAAAGATTATTTCATATTTGTATCTAAGGAGCTACTTAAACCTTCTTCTGAAACAGCTGGTACTGTCTGGTCTAAAATCAGGATACTGCAATCCCATGTGTTGGGTTGGATTTTAATTTCCATTTGAGATTACAGGAACTCCTGTGAAATGATTGAACAAATCCTGATCTGATAATTAAGGCAAACAATATTCTATATTAAAAGGCAGGAAGAACAGCCTGTTTTCTGTCAGAAAGAGTGGTGGACTACAGCATCAGAGGACATTATCCTGCCAGGTACAGATGTGGAAACCTTGGGTTTTTATCTGCACAAAACACATTCAGCCCTAATCCATTTTTGAATGAAAAATGTCCATTTATTCTGCCACCACGGGAGCAAACAGGATTAATTGATTGATTGATTGATTGATTGATTGATTGATTGATTGATTGATTGATTGATTGATTGATTGATTGATTGATTGATTGATTTAATTAAGCATAAGGTGCTTTTCTGCGTTTGGGAATCAGTTTCAAGGTCATTTAGCAGCTGGCAGTGTCACATATAGAAGATAAAGAGCTCAGTCCAATAGCAAGGAAGGCGGTATCTTTCTCTTGGCAGTAGATTAACCAAGGAAATGTTGATACAAGGCGATGACACACTGCCCTCCTGAATATGCAGATGAATCTACATCATGTTTGGATATGGAAAGTGCAGTGCTGTTATCAGAACCACCTGACCCCACCACTTCAGAAATTTAGGTGAATTAAGGTCATGTAGCCATGGAGAGAAAAGGCCAGGGCAAAACGTATTGACAACAAAATATGTCTAGTATATTGTGGGCAATTTCAGCTGAGTCACTTGGACAATAATGGAGTAAATCCCAGCATTGTGAAGAGCAATCCCACCTACATATTTTGGAACTATTCCAGTTTGCTTAGCACTTTCCACAAGGCATTTAGCAGGGATGCCCTTTCACCATTTTGCTACATGAATCTTTTGCTTGTGTGGTTGCTGTTGGTTCCCAGAGCATAAATTTTAAGTCTCAAATGTTGCATTGATACTACAGTTCCTTTCCCTGGGGGTTTAATGCAAGATTTCATAATTATGGTGATGTTTAACACTGTAAAAATCTGTAAGTCTTCGGGAGAAATTAAGTCTTTACAACTTGTTGCAGAGTTGTATTACTTCTATGGTTTATAAACTTATTTTCTCTAACTCCTAGTTCCACTGGTCAGAGAGCAAAACATTAGGGTTAATGTAAACATTTAGCTTTACTGCATGCTAACTCGCACCCTCTGAGAAGGTCTAGCTATATGTGTTGTTGGCTGATAAACCCTGCCTAATTTAGCTCCTTATTTTATGTCCGACCTTATTAAACTCCAAGTCTTGTTTACATTCTGTTGGAGCACAGTTCTCAAGCGAAGCCTTTGTAACTCAATTGTCTGTCAGATGAGATTAATTTGCTCCTCATCTGGGAAACAGAACCCCCACATAAATTAGATCTACCTGGATCCTAATGAAATTATAACAAATGTTGGCATGAGGTTTCTCTCATTTTCTTTTTAATGATGTCATAGAAAAATAAGCTTTTAGGTAATTGCTTTTACTCACAGAGAAAAAGCCTAACTTCTTTTCTAGCAAACTGTTAGCAATCTAGATTCGTGTTACAGAACCTGAGGTAGTTTTATCTCACCTAGTCTTACAGTACCTGAAATTGTTTCTGTGTCGTCTCTTGTCCAGTACAAGAAGAGAAATTTAGAGCTGTTTAGTAGACTTTATTTCCATCTTTGTTGAATTTTAACTCTCCTCAAAGTCCTGCAACTGAATGCAGTGTCGTGACAGTGTTATTCCAGTAGAAGAGGTGACACAGTATACATCCATTGAGCAGCTTTGCTTGAGCTCAGACAACAAATTGTTACCTACATCTAAATTCCCCTAAGCCTCCTCAGTTGCTCTGAAGCCCAGAAACACAAAATTTTATGATATTCTATCTCCCAGAAATCCTAATATACGCACCTTGGTCTTGATAGCACCAAATGCAGGTAAGGTCAAAAACTCTTCACGACAAGGCACTCCTCTCCCGGTCTGGCCCATGGGCCCTGCAGTTTTCCGTAAACTTCCAGGGCAAACAATGTGCGAGAGGTCATCTTCATTCAGTCTCAAAGGTCGTGATGTGATGCAGCTGAAGCTGGAGCAGAGCCTTCCACAACATACCCAGAGGCTCAGAGTGAGGACCTTATTCAGCACACTGGGCAAGTGCCCTGTTTACCACACCACTGGTGGGTGAGGGCAGACACCTGCATGCACCCACTTGTGGGGTCATGCTGTGAACCAGATCAGTGTTGGGCTTCTCTGGCTTTAAACAACAACCCCACCCTGCCCCCCAAAGTGTTCTGGCCTTCAGTGCTGTTTGTAGGGAATCGTGTTCATCCAGCCACAACTATGGTGCCCCATGGCATGGAAACGGGCAGGGAGGGACAAAGAACAAGAAAGAAGTCTGTGAGCTGGTACTGCCACCAAAGTCCCCACATCATCACATTGCAGGATGACTTCTGCAATGCCAGATAGTTCCCTACAGCGCCCAAGGCATGAGAGACTCTCTGATCCACCCCTCCACAAACAACATGGACATCTTGCTACTCGGACTTTCCCTGTGCTCAAAGCTCCGGGGCTGGAGCATCTAAAACATTCCAGCATGAGAATGCTTCTGGGGCAAGTTCAGCTTTCCTTTTGCTCCATCTGATGGTATTTTAGATTGAAAGGGTCTGGAAAAGATGTTCCTTCTAACCATATGGAACAGTTGAGGGTGAGGGAAGGGTGGAGAAAATGTAAGAAACAAACAGAACTTTTCTCATAAGATTTCTTACTTTCATCCTGCTTTAAAGTCTCCCTAATAAATAATTTTTGTATCCAAACAGTGCCAGGATATTTCAAGAGGACAAGCTGAAATTTTTCCTTATGCAATAGCAATTGAAAACCTGTTTTTGGATATGCTTAATCAATGCATGCTGATATCTCACCATATGCATAAATCAGATACTCCCCAAGGTATATGTGTCAGAGCCAGGGAGGAAGAATGTGCCTTTGCAGTCACAAGGAGCAAATCACATCGGGTTTGTGGCTCACTCTGAAGCTGTTGACGTGTCGAAATTATTACTGTGAGAGAGCCAACCCCAGGAAGTAAAGCAGCATCCTAAGGGTACATGGGATCAGACCTATTTTTCTATATCAACATAGGAGTTTGAACAAATCCAGGCAAAAGAGTTCAAAGGTTTGCTAGATCCAAGTAGTCCATCAGGTGGATATGGCTAAGAAGTTTCACTTCTGCAGTTAACCCCATCCTGGAGGGAAGAGGTTAATACACCACCTGGGTTCCTTGGATTTAAGCTTGAATTTAACTAATCCCAAAAGACCTCTTTCACCTGGGCTGGTGAGTGGCTAACAAATTCAGACATAAACTTACGCATCTGGCTGCACAGTGGGATGCTTTAATTACTCTGCTCCTCCACCCCCTCCTATGCAGAATGATGTTCACAATGCCAGCACAGGGACCCACAAACACCATGTGTCAACATATTTTTTATCTTTTTTAGGAGATTGAAAAGCTGACAACAAAAAAAGCAGATACTTCAGACACTCAACAATTTCCCATTCCTCATGGAAAGGCAGCTTCCAGGTGCTGACTCCAGACCGCTTCTCCAGATGATACTCACCAGCTGGGCTCCTACCTGTTGGGATGGGGCCTTTTTTTTCCTCAGGTTGCTGCCATATGCAATCAGAGGACTTCTAGGAACACTAGCTGCTTCAAACCAGGCTTAAAACTGGTTTGTGCTGTCCAAATTGGGCAAAAGTTGTTTACAGGAGTTAGGGATTATCTACATAACTGAGCCACTCCCTGCAATGGTTGATTTCTCCAGTGAAATTAACCTTAAATAAAATAAGAAGCTAAGAGATAACGTCTAGAGATAGTAAATAGGCCTTAGGATCAGTGCTATCAATAAAGTTGATGTCTTGGAAGGAAAGAAAAGCCGTTCATAAAACTATTCTGTCCGAAATATGTATGTCTTTTTCAGTACAAACCTGTATGGTTCAGGAGATTCAGATACTCAGGGTCTCACTCGTGATAGTAGCTCAAGTTGCAGCTAAGCTCATGGGAATCACCAGGCTGCAAGTTCTGCTATGCTCTGCCTCCTTTTTCTAATGATTCCCCCAGTCTTAAAATCACAGCTCAGTTGACTGCTGCCAGACCTGTCTTGTGCTATTTCTGAAAGCTTTTATTTGTAACAAATCACCAGTGAATAGCAACTGCGGCCTCCTTTAAAATGCCTCATGTGTTTAACTCCAGATAGGGTAGGATGATTACAAACTTGAGCAACTCTCAGGACTGAGAATAATTAACCTTTATTTACTTCATAGATCCTGACAATTACTGGTGGAGTTATACTGGAAAATTTGTCAGAGCTCTTAATTAGGCTTGCTTACAGCTGTGCATCCTCATCCCCGTGAGTGCAATCTGCCTGCAGCTGTGCCACCCCAAGCTCTGTGAACTGATGGGTTTTCATAAGCAAATTAATTCCTGAATGAGAAACCTCCAGGTGAAGGTGCTTCCAGGAAAGCAGCAATGGGGACATTCTTCTCCACTGCAGAGCTGAGTCACTTGCCCCAGCACGGCAGCGGAGAAGCTGACTGGAGACTCCCTCCCATTGATAAGATACAAGGATAATTCTCCACCTACCTGGGGTGTGAAATTTCTTTGTAACTCCATGTGGTTCTCTGTATTTCTAAAACCCCTCTATCGTAGCCAACACCCTTCTGCCCAAAGTTCCTGGATCTACCATAACAAGGCGCAGTGAGAAGCGCATTGCATTGACCTGATTTTCACAGCAATTTCAGGTAACTGAGGTGTTCTCATGACCTGTCTTATGGTAAGTCACTGCTGTTCTTGCCCAGAACGATGACCTGTAATAGCGGCTCTTTCACCGGTGTAAAACTCCTCCAGGATGGTGGGAGCTGCTGTAAAGAAGGACCCAACTCTGCTGTGAGCAACCATAAAAGTACAAGCCACAGGTAGAGCAGGCAAGTAACAGTAGAGGGGAGACTGACACGATAAAGACAAACTAGAACAACTTCCAGAACAGGTAAGAGGGCAAGTTATCTGATTCATAACAGAGGCAAAAATCTCCCTTCAGCAGATTCCCCCAAGGAGCTATCTATGTACCAGCAATACCTATACTAGTTTCCCCAGATGCCTAATCTGAAAATGCTGCATTCCAGTTCTCTTTGCATAGGATAAGGAAAGTATAAGTATGCAAGAAGCACGTTTACATCCAAAGGCTTACGAGCTTCAGAGCCGTCCCCCAAATCCTTGCAGAATACATGTTCCTTTCCTAGGTCTTACTCCAGGTACTAAGCCACAGAAACTTATAATGGATGGGAGAAGGCTGGAAAAATGAAAGCAAAAGCCATTTAATGGGCATGATAATCAAATCAGCATCAGTTTTACGCGTTCCATGTGTTGTGATAGTAGAATGCATAACAGGTGTCCCGTACAGCTGAGAAGACATGTATGAAGACATGTATTCTACAACCAGTTATGCAACCATACCAAACCCCATGTCTCCTTCCACTGTTTTTATAAACCCAAAGGCTGTCGAAACGTGGGAAGCACAAGACATCACACACGTCTGTGATCAGTCACAGGCTGACGAAGCACAGGGCACAAGCCTGACAGCTACCCTTCATTCAGGCTAAATAAAAGAGCAATTAAGTTCCTTTACAGAGGAATGGTTGGGCACAGCAGAGGCCACTGTCTAAGTACATCAGGTGGGACGTGCATGTGCAACTGTAGCAAGAGCTTGGAGACAACTGGTTGAGCTACATGAGCCAGGCGAGCACAGAGTAAGCAGCTCCAATTTTGACCAGGAAGGAAGCAGAGGCTCTCTGACACATCACCTTAGAAATGGAACGTTGGGCATAGCTACTGAGAAAAGTACTAATTTTTGTGTGTTCCCGCAATGTTCAGAGATACAGTGCCGTGCTAAACATGTATGAATGTATCCATGGGTTTATTCTCCTCCTGGTAGAACTCGGGTAACTGTTCAGGCCAGGAAGAAGCTCTGTGTGACAAAGACACGTACACTAAAGAGCTGCAAAAACTAGTACAGAAATACCATCCTTCCCTGATGTGTTACTAGACCTCAAAATGCTAGCACAAACTCTTCCACAGACACTAAATGGCCTGTAAAATAAAGACTAGATATTTTCCTAAAATACAGACTGTAGTTGAAAGGGAAATTACTGACTTAACCAAGAAGTTAGTGGAGAAGGTTCTACAGATTTTACTATTCAGGAAGCAAGAATAAAATCACACCCGTACCTCTGATCTTAACATTTGTGATCTCAGTAGGCATCTTGTCAAAACAAATATTTTTATTCCTTTAGTTTTTCTTAGAGAATATATGCATAAAAGCCAGTTGATCTACACTCTGCCTAAGGGGCTGTTTTGCCAAGGACATGAATGTGAGGAGACGCAGCCTCTCCTAAGCATGGGGTGGGCAAATAGTGCTTAAAAGCAGGAGTTATGTAGCCTAATACAGTTATTGCCAGTATGTGCCTAATTTGGAAATTCAGTAAAATGATTAAATCATTAGATAATAGTTCGCACTTCATATAAAGTCTTTAACACAGGGTTTATTTTTTCTTTTCCCCTATCCATTATCTTGCTTGTATCTACTTGTGGAGGGTTTTCTGTTGGGCTAATTGCCTTGGAGTGTGATAGTCTCATTACCTCACTGGTGTTGCATCCATATTGATTAGGACATAGCATGGTCTTGATTTAAAACACAATGCTGAAAGGGTTGCCATCCATCAACAGCCACACGTACTTACTTGCTTCCTTCTATCAGCTGTGGTGTTTGTAAGACCATGGATCTGGCTGTAAAATAGCACGACCCCGCAAAGACAAGACTCCTTTTCAACCAGAACCGAGTAGGAGCCACGTGAGCACCAGAGCCAGGGCAACGAGAAAGGTCAGGTATGTCAGTGTGGTGGGGAGTGACAGGCAGTAAATGCAGAGCCATTAGATGCCGCAGACAGGCTGTGCATGCAAAAACCAGTATCCAGGAGAGGAAACAGCGCATCGAGGAAACCAGCTTTCCAGAGACTCTGTGGCAGCCACACTACCTGTAGAATATACAAAAGACATTCCTTGTGCACAGCTGGTTTATTTCTTAAGATTTCATATCATCGATTAACATCCTCCATGTTCCCTGCATCAAGACAAACTCAGTAAGAGATTTTGTTGTTTTATCTTTTCTTTTCTCTAGGCACTAGAAAACAAATGATCAGTTTGCAGTGTCAGAAGTCAGGTTTCTAACATGAATACACAAGAGATTACTTACATAATAGAGCGAGACTCTCTTACTACTGCAACACTTGTGGTTAGCCCTGGACATCTGTATGTGTCCGGCCTGTGTATATTGTCTGGTTGAGCTCTAGGAGCTCTTAATTTGTTCATGAATTTTAATGAATAGTCCAACTTGAGTAGCAGGCCAAATTCCATGAGTGTTTTATTTAATTTCAGTGTAAAAATGTTTGGAGTCACCAGAGGGCACCATTATAGATAGCTTTATAAGTTTCATATAACTGATGCTGAAACAAAGTAGATTTTGGGAAAAGTGCCTGTTAATAGTCATGGGAATCCTGATAGGGACTGTGGCATTCACAGGACAAGGGAGTATTTCTGTTTGCCCTTTCCTTAGACTCAGCATGGTACCACACAGGTCCTGCACTGCAGCAAATGCTACAAAGAAAAATGCAACTGAAAATAGTTTAATAGTTTATAGTTTTAAAATAGATTAATTAATAATTATAAACAGATTCAAATCAGAGAATGAGCAACTGAGTAATTAAAAATGTGCGCTTCATCTTCAGCCACCTCTTCCTTTCCCCACCTCCCACATCTTCTTCTCTTAGCTGTACTTACTGTGATGAATCTAGAGATCGAGACAAACTAAAAGAAATCACAAATCTCATGCTACACTGTATTCCATTTGACTTTAAAGACTTTATTTCCAGTGAACACTTTTGTCTTTTTTTTTTTTCTTGACCATGGCTTTGCCTCACAATGTGTTTCATCAGCAAAGAAAAATAATTTACCTTCCTTTATCCAAAGGGATTTAAAAATGAGGAGTCAGTCCGTATTGGTCGCATCCAGCCTCCCAGCTCTCCTTGCCAGCAGGGAGTCTATTCAGCTAATTCCCACACCTCTTCATGAGCTGTTGCTGGCAGACCAGCAGCTATGCTAAGAATAAAGCAGTTCCTTTCCAAACACATGTTTTCAAGGACTTGGATATTTTTTTACAGTATCAGATTTTGCATTATGACATCCTTTCCACTGATTATTGATAGATTCATTTGAACTCTATTCACGCTTATCTGGAAAGATAATCTTGCACGCAAGAGCAGAATGTGGCAACCGTCAGAGCTCAGAGTTGGCCCCTAGACAAGACCAAGTATTTTATATGGATTTAAACAACTCATTATTTTAAAAGGCAGGAGTTAACTGCTGCAATACTGAGTAATGATGGATGCACAAGCTAATGATCACAATCCAGCAGCTCTGCAGGGAGTATCTATGTACACACTCTTACCTGTCCCCTCCATTCTTCCTGTAAATGCAAGATACGTTGCTTTTTAAGTATGTCCTGCTTACTACTGTGTATTTTAGGGACAAGCAGACACACATACTTACTGTGAAACAACAGATGAATGGGATGCAAAGCATCAATTTAGATTCAGTCTTTTGCAAAGCATGTGTTGCCCCTGTATCTCTGCATGTCAGATCTTATACACGCTCAGTGCACACATTTCAATCCACAGTCCTAACAGGCCTATGCTAATATGTGCATTCCTTTGTTTTATCAAAACATTACAATATAACTGCCAATCTTCTGGAAACTGTTACTGCATTATTCATTGAGCAGTAATTCAGATGCTTAGTAAAATGAAAAGGATAATTTACTCCCAAGCTGCTGGATTTGCTTGAGGATTTTTCCCCCTTCTCATATTTTGCTTTCTGTCATTGGGTAATTTAGGAGTAAATCTCCAAATGATCTTTTACCAGCAGCTGCATCAGACCTGGCACTGTCAGGTTTTCAAACACTGAAGTTAAGCTGTGCAGCCACAAGGAGCCTTTTGTTGATATTTTAAAGTAGGTAGGTTTAATGGAAGAACAACAACGACCACACACTTTGCTCAAATTATTAATGACAACATTCTGTGCTCAGGAATGGTTGATTTTGCTAAGGAGATTTGTCTCTGAATTCATTTACATTAGCTATTTCAGCTATGCAAACCACACAAGGTAAGTTGTGCTGCCTTTCGAAGAGCTTAAACCAGCACTTTGCTGAAGACCCAACTACGAAGAAAAACTGTTTCTTTCTTCATCTCTGCCTGGAGCCTTTCCTCATCCTCTTCATAAAAGGAAAAAGGAAAGGCACTTTTTACACCCTGTCTAGTACTCTGCAGATTCCCAAGTGCCTGTCAGGATTATTTTTCACACAGCATCAGGTACTGTCATGAGATGGTCCCTCATACTGAACAAAGTAGTTAATCACTCATGACAGAAGGCCCCCAGAGCAGCCTGAAAACTTCCAGGGGTTGGACCCGCTCTGCTGGAAACAATCCTTACATCCAATCCCCCAAAAATGCTCCTGCTCAAGTGCAGGAAGTTTTCAGCCCAGACCCTGAAAAATTCTACCTGTGTGCTAAATGAATTTCTAGTCTTTACTGCGTCAAATTCAAGTATACCGTCAGGTACAGGCAACTAACTCTTAGTAACCTCAAAATACATGCACAAACCTGACTTGATCCACTTTGTTATACCCATTCTGTTGCTGTGATGAGTGGTAACTCCTATTAAACTTACATAGCAACATTAATTCTGTGCACTTCCACAGTATTTTCTGTTTGAAAATACTTCACAGACATTACTTGCCCTCTACAGACACACCATGCTGTAGCATTTTTCTAACACTCTACAGAGAACGTAGAGAGATACTACAAAACTCATACCATTATCAGCAGAGCCATAACTCTGTACAAAGTTTCACTGATGAACAAGTAGTAGAAACCATAATAAGGAAGAGAATTATCAAACAGATATAGAAGATACACTTTGGAAGAGCCCAGGTTTTTTGTAAATGGAAATCTGTGTCAAGCACCTATCAGACTTCTTGGAAGGGCTCAGCAGCCACAAGAATGAGGATGGTTTGGTTTTAAGTATATTTAAGTTTTCATAAAGCTTTCAACCACATTCCTCAACAAGGCTTTTAAGGAAACTAAGCAGCCATGGCTTAAGATGGAAGGTTCTGCCAGGGTAAACCGTTAAAAGATGGGAAAGAGAAGACAAGATGGTAAGTGCTCACAGTGGACCAAGTTCATCAGTGCAGTTCCCTAGAGATGAGACATCGAGCTGTCTGGTTCAGTGTATCTGGAAAAGGGGGCAAACATGAATATGACAGAATTTATTGATGATATAAATTATTCAGGATGGAGAGAATGAGGGGCAACAGACTGCACAAAAAAAATAGTCAGTGAGCAATAAAATGGCAGACAGAATTCCGTACAGACAAATATAAAATCATGCACAGTCAGAAAAGCAATTTTAACTTCATACATGTGGTCAGAGCTGACCATTAGCACTCAGAAGTGAGATACTGGCATTATGATGGAAGTCTTGCACGGTTTCAGCTCAGTGGTCAGAGGAGATCACAACAAGGATGCTGTGAATGCTGAAGTTCAGTATTAGCTCAGTGGAAGGCTGTAAAATCTTGGAAATTAAATCTGTCAAGGTTTGCTAAATGCACAAACCCCATATTCAGCTCAGGATGTGAAAATGGTTGGAGGCTGGGAGAGCAGTAAAGGAAGTAGCATTTATACTTGCTCTGTTCTTAGGCTTTTATCAAGGCATCCACTTACGGTGCCTGCTGGAGACAGGATCTGTATCAGGTAGATGGATCTCAGCCAGGCCAAACACGACCATTCTTCTTTTATATTCAAGTTACTGCTCTACGAAATGATCGTAATCCTCAGGAGCTTTCAGGCTGAGAGGTACATAGATAGGAACTGCTATTTTGCTGGAAATGTCATCACAGAATGGCAGGTAGCCCAGTCTAAAACCCCTCTGGGTCAATAAGCCTGAAATTAGCAACACCTTTAACCCCTGAAGAGCTCAGAAGACAGAAGAACGCCGAGGAGAGCTCACTGAGCATCTTATGCTCAGTTGTGTTTGCATCTTAGAGGTATCAGTCAGTTTTGGACTTTGCATCAGGCTGGAAAATAATATGATATTTGTATCCTTTGAGTTCCAAATATAAACAACGGTGAAATTTATTTCTTTAAGCAGCAAGCCACCAAAGGTCCGTATTTTCAGAGGTATCATAGCTATTAAGTTAACTTTGTAATCAATTTACCTCCTTTACTCCGGAGTCTGCACTTTTACTTACTGTTATCTGGAGAAATGAGGTATTTCCAAGCATTTGCAGTGAAAAATCTGAAAAAGTATTTATTAACTAGACTTAATAAAACTAAACATAGAGTTTGACTTCCAGGGAGATGGAGCCCTTTTCCTGATACTATGCAGTGCAAGGAGGTGCACCATTATAAACATACAGCACAGTCTAAACAAAAAAAATTTTAAACTTGCATCATATTATTAACAAGTCAGTGAAGTTTGAAATTCGCAACTTAAAATCTGGCCAGACAGAGAAATTTAATACTTTGCAAACATTGCTACTTTTGAATTAATCTAAAATTCTTAGTTTTGTCTTTTGGTAGAAGTAAGTAACTTTTTTCTGTTCAAAGCTTCATTCTGAACAGTCACATTGTATTGCTGGGGTGAAGTGAGTAGCCCCATCAAGAAGTAACTCCCACACACCAGAACCGTACTGGAACACGCTGTAGGTGCCCAAGCACACCCCAGTCTCCCTGCAAACTAAAACTGAGGCAGATGCTCTGCTCACCCTCTGCTGCTGGGATGCTGCTTGCTCTGCGATGCTCCCAGAAAAACAGCACAAGAGGGCGCCTGGAGCCTCAAATACCTGAAGTCTGCCTTTCACATACCAGCTTTTCTGCAATACGTTGTATTTCCAATGTCAAATTCAGATAAAAAACTGAATGCAGCACGGGGGAATGGGAGAGGACACAATGAAGCCCTGAGCAGCACCTCAGTTGCATACAGTTTAGCCCTAGTTTTGCTAACCTACTGAGAGCATTTGAGAATATTTTCATCTATCAGACTGGATTCTCTGTTAACAATTATGTGTCTTCTAAATAAAAGCCTGTATTAATTTTTATGGGGGTGAAAGAAACCTCTGCCATATGTGAGATTTAAATGGTAGGAAACAGGAGAAACATCTCCAGAAAACAGCAAGAGAAAAGCCAAAAAGGTTAAATATTTTATGTCAAATTTAGCTTGGCAACCACCCAAACCGTGGACTTTGGCAGATTGCTTGTTGGTTATAACAGAAGCCACTTCCTCTGCAGCAACAGGCGTATCAACACTATTGTCTGCTTCCCGGGGACGGGCTTGGGGTGTTTCAGTCCTCTGGGTGGGAGCTCGAAGCCGGACAATGTTGCTTATGTGGAGCTGAGTGACTGAAAAACACAAAGCCGCAAACCCCCACCGGTGGCCCCGTGGGGAATTCTCCCATGCATATCTCGTTAGGAAATGAATCGGGGTATTTTTCTCCCTGCCCTGGCTCCGGGCACTCTGACAGCTCCATTCAGTGAAGGGGAGGAAGGCTCTGCCCAGGGCTCCTCTACAGCTGCGGGTGACTCATGCTGGAAGAGCCCCTTTCAGCCAGATTTAAGGGGACAAAGTCTTCCAGAAGTTTTTCCTACGTTTATTTAAACATGCTGATTTCTATCGCTTTGAAGCTTTCTGCATAATTGCTGCTTGCACAGCAAAGCCTGGCCTGGTACACACCGACCTGACGAGGCAGGAAGAACAGCAGGCCCAGGCTGCTCCCCAGAGGTGCTGGGGCCGCTCCTGGCAGCCACCCTCCTCCCTCTCCTGCAGCAACATCCCCAAGGAGAAACCACTCTGTCCTCACTGCCTTCTTGGGACATGCAGGAGAACCAGAGGAACGAACCCTGCTGCTCGCCCAGTCCATGAGAAGAGCACTGGGCAGATGGGACTTTCTCAGTACTTTCCTCCCTCTGGCCTGGCCAGAGGAGCAGGGACGTGTTTGAATCTTCCGGTCCCACTTTTCATTGCTTTGTTTGCTTTCGGGATAAGCAGCTTCCCCACCGTTTCCTTCCTTTCTACAGCTCCGTACAGGGCTATGGAGGCACAGAGGGAATTCTGCAGGCTCCAGTTGCTCACCCATAGTAGGTGAAGATGGACAGTGGTGTCAGTAGCTTCCTACAGAAGATGGCGTGAGGAAGGTACGTCTCCCGCTGCCTCTTCCTCCCACTCTGCTCCCCACTTCCATACAGGGGAGACTCAAAAACGAGACCTTCGTTAAGATGTCAGCCATCAGAGGAGAAGCAAAGTCTTCTCGTAGGAGAGTGAGGAAGCCTTTCTTGCAGAGGTTTGGGCAGAGCACACCACCACGCTCCCCCCCAGCCGTGCGTGAGAATGACATCATTATGCTAATATATGAGACAGGAAGTGCAACCAAGCATAAAACCCACTGAAAGTGAATATCTATGAAGTGCTGCCAAGAACGCTAACGACGGCACAAAATAGAAAATGAGAAAAGAGGTTTGGTTCATCTAACTTCTTCCAGTTTTAGTAATCTCTAGTGTCACTTGTAACAGTAGGTAGTTAAAACAGGTCCTCGGATAGACAATGCTCAAGGTCTTTGAACTTTACAAGTACAAATGAAGATTTTTTGCTTCCCCAAGCTGATGGTGACCTTGTAATGTCTTACCCCCATCCACAAACTGAACTCAGTACTTTGACACCAGTCTGATGGTCCAGATAAACTGGCCGGGATTTGTAAACCTCCTCTCCACTCGTTTTTGTGCTTTTGAGTTATACTAGTTCCTTACCAATGATCTTAGTTAGCTATTCTTGCATTTGTCTTTTTACTACATGGATTCCTTTATTTTCCAGCAAATTTCACTGAGGTCTTCAGTCTCAAGTATGGCTCATCTGCCTAATTGCAGCTGCCCAAGCCTGAGTCTAGACATTTTTATAGTCACCCAAGAGTCACCTATATAATCACATATTAATGTAAACATACAAATAAGTTCATCTGAACCACACTTTATCCATAGGACTTTTCTCCATCAATCCTAGAAATTTCTACAAAGATCTCAGAAGCTCATAATTTGTCCCCTGTACCTGCCTTTGTGTCAAGCAGCTGACAGAGTGGCAGTGCCCCAGGAGAGAGGTGGCACTCAGCTGCAGGGAAGTGATGCCTTCAACAACCACAGCTTTCCAGAAACTTATAGATGTGCGTGTAACTTACAGATATGATTTCATGAAATCACAGAGCCAGTCTGATTGTTGATTGTTGCCAAAACAGGAGGTGCCCCCTCCTGTTTCTCTTGCACTCACACCCATTTGACCCCACTACAAGCCATTCACAGACCTACACTGGACTAAATCTTTTTTTTTTTCTGCTGATCGAGCTCGTTGCAAGTTCCCCTGCCTGCCAGTGCTGGTATGTGGGTGCACTGGGGAGGGGAGGCTCACATGGGCTGGGGTACGCAACCTGCTTGGATAAATCACTGAATGATGCATTACTGAATGGGTTGAAGTGAACTGGTAAAGACCCCTGTTATGGACATCTGTTTGGAGTTTACAGCTCTGTATGACTGAGCAATTATATTGACTCTACCTAGCGTGCCCCAGTTTGCAAGTTTCAATTTTAATACTACAGGACTGATGACCTGGTAAGGCAGACAAGGCAGCTCACGGCAGCCAGAGCTGGTGTTTCACTGCTCTGGCAGGTGCTGAGAGGTCCTTCATTGAGCACACCTCCAATTTTCCAAGATTTCTAAAAGCTGTTTCCCATACATGTTAATTTAAATCATAACTAATTGCAGGATTTTTGGAGTTGAGGTCATGGATATATGGCTCTGCTTCCTTGATTTATGATACAGAATCTGTACAGCATAATACAAAATACTGCAGCCTTAGCAACGTATCATTCCCCTCAAAAGCTTGTTCATAAAACATCGTTTTCTACAACATAAATGACCCCACACAGAAATTAAATGAAATACAGGCAGTTGTTGCTGTTACTCACAAGACATTTTCAGTTCCCTTCTGTTCTATCTATATAATCTACCCAATGTTTGTAATATGCAGTAATTAAATGTGTTGTTATTGCCTCTTATAATTCAGCATCAGATCCTATAAACCTAGAGGTATTAAAAATATAATTAATCTCCTTAAACTTTGGAAAAAAATTACTTAATAATCCCGTTTTTAACTCTCATGCAGTTGAAATATGATGAAAGCATCATGTTTTATGTATCAAATACTACAGATCAATTAATCCCCAGCTTTTAAATGGGTTTCTGTACAAAATATGCACAGAAATCAGAGACCTTTCAAAAAAATCCCAACCTTTAAACAGGACTAAGCAGTCTTAGAATAACACTAGTCTTATCAGCAGACTGCCATCAAATTAAGGTGGACTGCTTTCTCTCATTTATACCCCCCTATAGACCAGTGCAGAGAATCAGACTCTCTAGAAACGAAAGCTGTGTACAGCTGTGACAACGACATTACTCCTAAGTGCAGTCATTTGTGGTTTGAGCTACATGCCCTGAATTTACCTCTCTCAACTTTGTAACTGCGCTCCCCATTGTAAATGCTTTGAAAAGAAACCAATCAACAAGAGAAAGAGAATAGTGACTGCTGATTTAGAACCCACAGCAAACAATTCTTTGCTTCAGCTTCGATAGGGGGTACACGAATGAATGAATGTGTCGCTTTTGAGGGCAGCAGGAACCAGGCTGGCGCCCCTGTTCCCAGGGCTGTTCTCTATACTTCTTTGTGCCAGGTGCAGAAATAAAAAAAGGAGAGTTTCTGGCCTATATTTCTTCAGATAACTGAAAATTCTCAGTGCTGTATTTGTTCAAAGCTTCATGCCAAGATCAATTATGAGAAGTTTAACAGTTTCTGTTGAGAGTCACCTCTAAAGAAAGGTAACAGCAGTAAGCATAAGGCAGTCTTCCATCCCATAGGGATCTCTATCACGCTCCTCACTAACGCCCAATAGCATGTCAATGATGTGACCAACACAGGCCAGTCTGAAACACAGTCACGTGAATTTATGAATTCCTGTTGTTTTAAGAAGAATATTTACAACTGTAGCTTTCCCTGTGGACAAAATCCTCTATGCTGTGGTACTCAACAGCACATCTAGGAAGCCAAGACAAGGCCATCAGCACTTGAACCCTTGCTACCGGCATAAGGGGACCACTACTGACCGAATCATTCCCCTGGAGTCTAGCAGCCACTGGAAAAGCCACCCAAGGCAACTTTTTATAATTATGAAAGAGAAGAAGAGACACGGTGAAAGGAGCCTGAGTCTGAAGGGTTTGTGCCCTAATATCCCATGCAGCATAATCCTGCAGAGCAGCAATGACAGCCTGAATTACCAAGGCCAGGACTGGAAACAGGTCTGGAAATACTCCTCACTGAGGCTGATAGTATAATTTAGTCTCAAAGAAGAACTTCAAAGTACTCAAACTGCAGACTGAACCCATCTCAAGTTGTGTACTTTCAACAGAACAGGCTGGATGGGACTACACAATCATAGAAGTACAGTATTATCCACCAATATAACTGTGTGCTTGTAGAAGCACAAAACTCTTTACCTTTAAGGAGCTACTTACCCTTGAACGCAATTCATGAAAGCACTGGGCCACTTCAGCAATATTGTACAGTTAATGACGGATACAGCTGTACATTCACTGCAGATTTTTGGCAGCTATAGCCACATCATGGGACTGGTCATTTATTGCTACATAGAGACACTGAAGAGACACAGAAAGGATTATTTTCCCTTAACTTGTAATTAATTGAAGGGTGTGTCCTTCCAAAAACACTCTAAGAACTCAACTCTGTTGTGCCAGCCAACCCAGGAGCACACTAAGCCCAAAACTTGGGGATGGCCTAGGTACTCCCCAACCCTTGGTGTCACCAAAAGGAGAAGTCGACCCTGACTAGGGACTGAGGCTGCACCTCCACATGAAAACGCAAATCTTGTCCTGAGGGAACTTCTGTTTACTTGAATGCCTTCCCGTTTTATGGGCCACATGTTTTGGGAATGCTGCACAGTCAGGAGACTGGCAGCAACTAAAGGGAGGTGATTCCTTCCAGAGGACTGCAGAAAAGCAGGATACAGCCTCAAACAGCGTCATGGCTGCCTTGTGCTTAGCTACATTGTATTATCATAACAAACGGTTTGGTCTTAAATAGGTACTGAACTCTAGTAAGAAATACAATTTGTTGCTTTTTTAAAGTAAGAAAACTGTAATACGAGGGCTTCAAAATTCACTTTGAAACACACTTTTCCTGTTTGAAAATGGAACATGAAAAACAGCACCTCAGCTTTTTAAAAAACAAGCTCCAAGATGATAACGTAGGTGAAACAGATTTAAAAAAAAAAAAAAAAGAAAGGAAGAGTGAACAAGTTTTACCATTTTTGGCTTCATAGCTCTCTTCACGGATCAGTCTGTTAACTTGCAGATGGAATAGCACACAACTCAGCAATAAGCATGGGTAGAGATTCAGAAAAACTAACCACCTACCTCTTATGTGGAGCATTAGATCCAGACACGGAAAAAAAAAAGGGAATGGGGTAGTAGCTGAGTAGGGGTGATGCAATGTCAAGGAAAATTCACCATGCTTGAAGCAAACCGCATACCGTGTAACTTTTTCCCCCCCCTGAAGACAGTAAATACTGGCATGGCTGCAATATGGCTCCAGAAACAGCTTTCAGACTTAAAGTATGTCAATTATCAATTGATTCACATAACTAATAAAACACTCTCAGCTATTTTTACCAACATAATACCTTTGTTCTCTAGCCAGGGAGCCTAATGTTTTAATCCCCTCTACCCCCTCACCCCCCATTTCAGTAAGAGCAAAGCAATCAGTACCTGGCAGGACCAAGCACTTGTTAAGCTGCTGTGGTTACTTTGCATTAGTATTTTCCATATAGTACTTTGAAAAAAAAGGCAGGCAGAAAATACAGTGATTTATAATCCTGAAGAACAATGGGCATTTCTGTGAGCTGGTTTTCTACACAGGATGTGGGGTGGGCCTTCTTGAGCTTGTGTAATCTGTCTGGAAGTCCAAAAACCACACTCTGAAAACATGCTTTTCCTTTAACAAATAGTCACACACACACACATAGAGAGTCTAGCTTTAGTTTACATGGCTGTCCTTCATCATTAAGGAAAATTTTCATTTGAAAATGCTTAAAAAATATCTTATTATTTCAAATAAGGTACACGGACCGTACCTAATTAAAATATAGAGCCTTTTTTACCCCAGGAAGAACTATAGTTAGAGGTGGATGCTTCACTTAAAATGGAGTGAAGAGTTTCCTCTCCGGTAGTGCTTTAGGCACTAGTTCATGTCCTAGGACCACTAGAGCTCAGAGACAAAAACTCAAAGGCTTTGGAAACATTTTCATGGAATATGCTGGGACTTACAAAGTGAAACAAATACAAATTATGATATGAAGTAGGCTTTTCTAGATGCTCTGATTGTAATACACTAGATTTAACAAATTCGGGCAGCCCTCAGAAGTCCTTTATTCCAGACACTCCGTTAAGATCAAATCTTCCCCCTTCCTCCGAGGAGCACCAGAAGATAGTCCACCACAAGAAACCGTTTGCTGTACAAGGACTGGACCAAGTATAGCAGAGGTTAAAACACAGGAGAGAAATTGCTTCCTCCAGAGCTCCCCTCCGGCACTGCAGGGTAAAAATACAGCAGACCTGAAGTAGCATAAGAAAAAAGTATAACGCACAGGAGTAACGCACTGTTTCACACTATTGCACATTCAGAAAGCTTAAGCAAGGGGTTTTGTATTTATTTCAAAAGCGTTCCCATTTATCTAATAGATTGCCTGAAAAAAGAAAGAACTACCGCAGAAATATTTCCATCACAAACGCCTGTGCTGTATCACAGAGACGGCACAGTACAGGCACTAGAGGCTTTAGATTGGTCCTTGAACTTAGGTCTCAAAGGAATATGCTTCCCAGTAAACAGCAGGCTAATATTTCTGAGCACTGGAAGGCACGTCACTGCATTACAGAAGTGCAAGACTTAATTGAAGTGGTCACCAAGAAAAGGAACAAGCATTGATTATGTTCTTCCTTTTAAAGATTCGGTTTACTGGAGTTATCTGTCTGAAAATTTGACTACTCCCCCCCTTCCCTGTTTGCCTTTTGAAGCTGTAAGACCTGGTTTATCAGGAACAACTACTGAAGAAGTAGAGTTCATATGAATTCTCTTAAATTTTGTGCTCATAGTAAAACCAAAAATCTTGTATTTGATGCTAAAATTTAGTACTGTAACAAACTGTTAGGAATACTTTTCTTTTAGGAAGCAAACTGCCATATGAAGGAGGTTTCTGTTTCAAAATACTCCACAATTTACTACTCTAACTTCCAGGGTTACATATTTTTAATTCCTAGTGAAACTAAATAGTAATTTCAAGCTTTATCGTATTTCCAGTGCTCAGAGTTTTCTGAGTTTATCTTTTTGAAGCTACAGCTTTTTCTTCTGCAAGTAGCTTTTCTTTCTTTCTGTGGGAAATTCAGAAAGAATGTAAGTTGAGTAACTGGGGAAAAAAAACCCAAACCCTCCAACACTCCAGCACACTGAAATTTATTTTTGCACACTATCAGGTTTCAGACAGCTAGAAAATATCAAGAAATCTTTCCCCCACTTTCATATGTTAATTGAGATTTACAGATGATACTCATTTAAGGAAATTATGAAGGGATAAATCCTCAGCAACATTAGACACAGCAGTTCCTACCACACCCTATGATATTTTGACAATTACCACACAATTTGACTCAGAAACTATTACATTCTGCGCAGAACTGTTTGGCTTCTGTCTTCAGCTCCAGCAAGTTCCTGCCTGAGCGCACGCACTACGCAAAACCAGCTCCTGCAGCTACGGAGCGGGGAGCTGCAAGGAAATCCCAAACCCCAGCAGGAAGCAACAATTCTGTGATTCAACATGTTGAGTCTTTTCCTCTGAGGTGGCACCAAGCACAGCATTAAATGCATGAACAAATGCTTATCCTGTCTGCGTTACAAATCCTAGGACCACTGAAGTTTCAGATCCTAGGACCACCTAAGTTTCAGGTGACTGAGCCTATGTCCCTCATCAAGTTCCACTGAGTATTTCTTTAGTGCCCTGTCTCCTTTCAAGGAGGGTAGTTTAAGGGAGAGAAGAGAAAGATTTGTAACATGTTGCAAAACAACTGCATTACATCTCCATCAGCTGTGCCACAAGAGCAGAGAAAAAAACATTTTCTGGCTGGATTTACTAGCTTTTGATCCTTTTACTTGCAAAAAGAAAAAAAAAAATTAAAAAAAAATCAATGTAATATGCTTACACCATAGCCTATCCCTGTAGTGGAAGTAAAGCAACATACCTCAGTAAAGCAGCTACCCCAGCACACTGGAAGACGACCGCACATTACAGCGACTGGACAGGAAGAAGGTACAAGCCATTTTCTAGGCAAAATAACAATGAAAATACCCAAAGAGTTTTGTTAACATCACAAGCCACAAAACAGAATTAAATACCATTCTGCTCCCTGCAGTTCCCATCTGGGTTTAATTTGCTAAAGAAGACTGAAGCCTGTATTCAAAAAACAGACTGAGTTGTAAACATTAGTCTCTGCCAGCATTACTAGTAACTCATGAGGTACTGGAGTTACTATGGAAAGGCAAGGGGGGCGGTGGGAGTAGTCATCTATGAAAGTAAGACTCTGTCATTAAGCTCACTGTTCTAATTGCAGTGTTTTAATCCATTAAATGAAAGTGAAAAGTGTTTGATGCTTAGAAAAAACACACTTGCAGAAAATCCTGTTCTACTCATCTCCATTATGTTTTGTAACATTATGAAATCTAACAAGGGAAAGTTGAGAAATATCAGAACAAACTGCCCGGGCCACTGGACCCCCTTGTTTTATAAAGCTTGTAATTACAGGCTACGTTGCTGTTGCCCAATTTATTTCTTGTTATCAGTAAGAGATCCCTGGTTCATTTCCTGCAGAATCAGTTTTGTTAAATTGTGACAAACTAATAAGAGTACAGCCAAGAGCATCTCATGGTAATATTTAACAATATGCCTTTGATGAGACTTTGCCCCCTCTCTCTGCTTTAGACTTCCTACATAACAAAATTCCTCAAGCCAAATTTTTCACTGATTACCAGTTATTAGCTTCTAGTTATCTATGCCTGTGACATAAACCACTGATATGCTTTGAAAATTGACTTACACAGTTTAAATGGAAGTGTAAAAAGGAGGAAGAGGTGTTTCTGCATCAATACAGGCCTGGAGGGATTCTGTTTCACATCATACAATAGCTCCCCCTTCATTTTGATGAATCTTAAGATCCACACTGAGACTCGGCTCAAAAATTGTCAGAGGCGGGAGAAAGTGACTTCCTTATTAAACAAGTGAATCCCTTGTTCACCGCATACTCTCACAAATGGTAACACAGCTGAGTTGATGGAGCACTACACCATGCTGCCAGGACAATAACCTATAGCAGTGAAGAGCAAGCAGAGATAATACTTTAAGCCACTGTTGCCTCTCACACCCACAACAGGCCCTGACATACCACTTCCTAGTTAGGGCTCATTAAGAAGCTGGCAGTGTTCCAACACGGAGTTGAACTTGTTCAGTCACCATCAGCATGGTCCTATTGCTATGACTTTTTACTTTGTTGGGTTACCATCCCACTAGTTATTCTTTCTTCCAACTAGCCACACCACCGCGACGACTCCTCCAGCCCCTAGGCCAAGCAACAACCCCACCAGCTGCTTCAGTGCTGCTTTTGTCAATCCCATGCTTCCAGATCCAGCAGACTTTTTCATTGACTTCTTGATGGCAGGTGTCATTAGCTAACAGTCACTATGTTTCAGCAGGCCCTCACATAAGGCTTCCTTTTCTTTTGCTGTTGCTAAAGGTGGCTCTCATCATCATAGGACCTTCTCTTGCTCACCAAGAGGTGAGCAAGAGACGGTCCTGTGGAAGGTCCTATGGAAGGACCTTCTCTTTCTGCTTTTCCCTCTCATCCCACCAATTCCCACCCCCTCTCCCTTCTCTAGATCCCAGTCCTGCCTTTGTTCTTGGAGGTCCTTAATTGTATCTTAATGTACCCCTCTTAGCCTTGTTATGTATATATGTCAATTTACCACTTGCGTGCTGTTGTTACTGATCTTTCAACGAAAAAAAAAAAAAAGCTTTACCAAAGTGGTTTCTTCTTCCTTTCTGCTCAGATGTTAGTTTAACTAGAAGCAATTAGCAGTAATACATGCTCATACACTCAGAGCAGTCCAGAATGACCATTTTATGAAAAATTTACCCAAGTTTTCCAGATCTAGTTAATGTTACTCAGCCTCTAAGCGATACCCATGAAAAGGACGTGTTATACATGGGTAAGTCACATCTGTTTCACACGTCTAAGGTACATATAATCTGACCAGCATCAGGAATTGTGAAAGATTCATTTTGAAACACAAGCTCCTTAAACCACACCTACTATTGAGATACACTCTTTTCCCATGAAAGGATCACAGCTTGGATAAGATTTTGGCGAGTCCTCATAAAAACAGCAAGAGGCTTTACTCTAAAGCATAAAACCAAGAATTGGAGCATGATTCCTCCAGTGCCCTCAGTTCTACAACGTACAACTTTAGTTTTGGGACTTTGGGAAACTAAAAACATATCAAGAACAACGGATGGTGCTACCAGCCCTACTTGCATTTGAACCTTTCAATACCCACATAAGACTTGCGTGCAGTTAGCAGACCCTACTGTTTCAAGGGAACATATGTTGACTTAAACCCCTGTCCTTCATGCGATTCACTGCTTTAGCTTATGTTTATGTTCTTTTTATCTTTGGATAGGGGCAGTTCTACCAATATCCAACTATTTAAGTGTTCACCCAGTTGTTAGTTTATTACTAATTTCGTATTGAATTACTGTAAGAAAATGAGGATTCCTTGGTCAAAGCTGCAAAACAAATTGCACAAGCCCACAGAATTACTGATTAAAAAGTTTAACTAGCAGCAAAATTTTTAGTTTTCATCTGCAAATTAAAAATATATTTGAGGGCAAATGTAATTGCTCAACTTTCTCACTAGTTCAGTGACCATACTGCTTTGTCTTTTTAACCAAATTAGCATGATTCAGACATCAGGAGATTAAGGCTTTACTGTCTGTGCCTAAGTAGTGATGCAAGAGGTTACAAATCTTTCTGTAAGCAGATACTCAGTTTTTTCCAGAGCTCAAGATTCTGAAAACTTTGTTCTCAATCAGTATCCCTTCATACATAGCTAGTTCTCCAAGGCAGCTAATACCAGTATGAAATTTTCACTTCATCAGGAAGAATCAAAGTAAGCAGCTGGTATCTGATCAGTTTTCAAAAGTCCTAACTTAAAATGAAACAAAAACCCAGGTCAAACTGCAAACCAACATCTCCAAACGGAGCATGACCACCACTACTAAATAAGTGGTAAACACAAAGAAAACTGGAGGGAGAGCACAGTTCTACACAGTAGTGACATTTCTGTGTAGCTGCTGGAGGAGCATGCTAGGACAAGCCTGCTGCTTCTGTCTTTGCTCTACACACACGGACACTTCTACATGCCAAAGCCAGTTATTTATCTGCTTCTTGCCTGAGTGATTCCAGGCCTGTTCTGAACATGCTTTGCAATGCCAAGAGACCATACTTCTGGTGGATTTCTGCAGTCTGATTTGTCAGGAAGAGAGATTATTTATACTAAGGGTATATGCACATTGACTGCAAATATAGTGAGATCCACATGATAGCCCAGCACTTTTCCTCACAAATTGAACACCTGTGCACTGCTGCCAATAAACTCATGCAACAAGAAAACTGTGGTCTTAACACAATTTTTACAGTACCAGTAACCAGGACCACATGCAATTTTTGCATTTCTCCCCTAGGAGAAAAATCCAAGGAACTGCTATGGATCTTTTTATGCCTCTAAGGGTCAAAGTAGCAATTTAGGGTTGGGTTTCGGATTTTGGTTTTTTAAGGGTTTTTATTATGCAGTTTGGCATACCTCAAACTAGACAAGTACTGTTACCAAGTTATCCCATTCCTTCATTTTATAGCACAGATAAGTATCAAAACCTACAAGCAGGAGTAATTCGTAGCTATGGATAAGAAGAGAAGTAGCAGCTGATGTGAAGACATTAATGCTTATTACCTAAATATATTCATGTTCTAATGACTAAGAGGCACTAGAGTATTGAGTTTCACTGATTTCTCATGTTAGTCATGCCTGTGCATAGCATCAAAGTTCCCATGACAGCAACTGGAGGAGTAGTAATTCTAGTTATGAGCTTTAATAGTCATGTTTCATGGACTATCCATATACAGATAACAAACCATGTTCTCGTTTCAGTCGAGAAGCTTGGTGCCTTTGTGTTGGTTGAAAAGAAAGAATACTGTCAGAGCACTGCAGTGGCTCTACTACCCCTTTCACAAAGGAGGTCAGGAAGCGTATACTGACATCCTTCAATTGGAGCTCATAAAACAGCTCCCCTTCTCTAAGGTACCCAAGGTTTTTGGGGGAGGGGAAGACAGGAAGCAAGCACTCTTCCTGCTCCCCAAACCTAAAAATAACGGAGACAGTATTGCTGCAACATTTAAGCCACACAAGCACTCAATAAAACCTGAAATATTTATACTCTGGGCAAACAGTCACAGAACTCTTGGGTTTTGCCCAGTATCTTTTTATCATTATCCAAACAGATCAGGACATTGTGGCAGGAAAGTTTACTTTTCTGAGGGTAGAGATGAGCCTGTTGCCAGCTGTTTTTCAACTATAGCTTTTTTTCTACCAATATCTTAGAAGTCAGTTAAGGAAAAACTACAAGCTATAAGACTATTCTGGCTTGTGAACTCAAACACTAGCTCCCCCCCTTTTGAGCACTTCTTGCTCTGTCATGAAAAATCAGCAGGTTTAGCAGAGTTTCTCGTTCGCATTAGAAAACAAATGAAATGAACACCTTTATATTTAAATGGGTACATGAAGTTAATAGAAACAGCATGAGTACACAGATAGGAAACAAATCACATATATTAGAGACATTAGAAAAAAAATGACATACAGGCAACTGCCACAAGACAGATTCTTCCATGACAGTATAAAAACAGATTGCAATAAATCACGTTCTTTCTACTTCCATCTATAAACACGAAAGTTAAATTTCTAGAAATTTAGAGTTGTAAAAAACAAGAGATTGATTATGCCATGCAGACAAGCAAGTTGTACAGAGAATTTGCATGACTTCGGAAGCACGTTTACAGGCTTCAAGATTCCAGTTCTCCTACATTTAACACTGCTACTGATTTGGTGGTTAAAGCTTCTTGTCTTTCAGAAAGCTAGAAAAGGAGATTTAGCACGAATATCTACTGCCAAAACAGGATTCAAAATTAAGAGGCAGACCAAACTAAAGATAAGCACCTTCACTTTCTGTGCTGCTCATTCTTGAGCAATCTTCCTCATTCTTCAGCTGGTTTCCATGGCTTCTTTATGTACTTCACACTATCCATTTGTTGCATAGGAAAACTAAAAGCTGATTTTGGAGAAGTCTGGTAGGCAGGTGCAAATTTAAGCATAAAATTGCCTTCCGTTAAGCTTGCCTCCAGTCTAGTCATTTTAAAGCTTAGAAATAACACAAAGTATCATTCAGATATAACAAAACCATCTTAAGTTCTGAAAGTAAGAGTCCTTAAGTTTGAGAATAAAAAAGCTTAAATAGGTCTTACATGCTATATTGTTAGCTTATACATACTACCAGTGGACAATGATATACCACAGTACACCTAGTTGTACCCATCCAGAAAGCTGGGAAGGAAACAATCATAGAATTACTTTCTTATCCCACAGAAAGATGATTCCCAGAGAAACCACAGGAAGATGGCTCCCTCTTCACCCTGAGACTCCAAAGCTTACTCAAATTTCGTATGGGCAGGAAACCAAAGTATTCCACATGGCAGATTAAGTGCCAGAAATCCGTAACAGTTCAGACATGAGTTCCCAACAGGAAGGAAGTTATAGTTAAATACAAGTCCAATCTGTGTTTCCCTCCACGAGCTCCATAAGATGAATGGAAAAAAAAAGCCATGTTTTCCTGTTACACAACAGCTAGCAATCATGTGATGTAGGATGCAGCACAACTTCTTGAAATAGGGATGTTATTCACATGCAGAAGATCCCTCTCCAAACTGGTCTTTCAGATTTCTGCTGCTGCATACAATGCCTCTATTTTCATCATTTCTATGATCTACTTCAGATATAGCCCTGAGCTACTTAGAAGTTATATGCTGTTCCAAGAACTACAGGTTAGGCCTGCCTATTTTCAACCAAGACAGCAGGATTTCAATCAGGTTTCCTTCTTACAGTCCACCTTTTTGCTGCTGTTAGGGGCAGGACCTCTAATGATTATGTACTTGATTCAGATTTTTCTTTTTTTTTAAGTGACAAATGGCTTAGAAAACCTACAAATGCTGATGAGAATACTTTTCAGTTGACATCAGGAATATACCTTTTGCTTCAACCCATCTATTCTTTCATCCCTCCCTCTGAAGAGCTGCAGTTACCTCTAGAGACCCCCATCATCCTCCCTTTGGTCACCCATAATTGTGAGCATGGTCACACATATAGTCATATTTTGTGTGTTGATGGTTTTATCTGACATGTATTGAAGAAGAATTACTTCAAAAAGATCTTTGTGAAGCTTGCTTACAGAAGAATGCATTTCATTTTTCCTGCAACACTCAAGAAGGCCAGGAATCCCCTTTGACCACTTTCAGTTAAGCACTGAGAATTTGATATTAAGGGAGTTTCAGAAAGGTTTCAAAGTCAGACATGCTCTTGCTTAATGGGACTCAAAACCCCATATATTAAAAAAAAAAACAAACCACACACCAATGCTCACATTAGACTTGTGTAAGGGAAAAGCAAACGAGTTTAATGAAGCATCTCATCTTTATTTATCATATGACAAGTAAAGCAAGATTTCA